TTTGAAAAGAAGGGCTCAAAGAACTGAGCTGCAGTGCTGCTCCGGACTCCAGAGTCGCTAGCGAAAAGGGTGACTAAAGCGAGGCGAACCCTGCCGAACGTAGAGCGAGAGACTACGACCTAGCCTGGGAGAAGGCCAATGCACGAGCCTCTGAGCTACTCTACTCGTCGGCGCTAACCTACGCAACACTACCGCCGTTAGAGAGCAACACGAGGCTCTCAACGGCCACAAACTGTGCAAGTCCTAGGCAAAGTGAGAAGCTAGGAAAGAAAAAAAAAAAAACACAAGTCTGGAGCCTAGTGTGTAGGGAAATGCAAGAGAGTAAGTACCTCAAGTGAAGGTAGAAGCCGTCTCGTATCGATTTCGCCCGTGAAGGCATCATCAGCAAGACATTTCCTACCCTAGCAAGAGTTCCCTACTCGAGCAATCCCTACCAATGTCACAGAATGCCTTGTGGGGCAAGCGCCACCTAGGCTCAAAACTAGCCCTGCAAGGTGCCAAGTGGCACCCTGTCAGGGACCATCATCCTAGGCGCCCATATCTCCCAATCCGGGCACCGGATGGCAAATCCGACGGCGCGGATGGCCTCCAGCCCCTACGGGGCTTATGGTCCCATATATGATATGGAACCCATCAGCCATGGCCGGGCGGCGAAAACCGGAGCTTTCTAGAATAGCCCCGGTAGCTACTATGTCGCTTCACGGATTCGCACGAATCCGAGTAGCAGAAACAGAAAAATGCGCATAACTATGCGCTCGGTGCTCCGTTCGGGACGTGTGAAGGCTCGTCGGAGAGCTCTTCAACAGCCCTACGTGATGAAGTCATCACGGAACAGAGCCCGACTAGTACCCGACCTCAGGGCCCCAAGAACCCGCTCGAGGTCTGACTGCCCACTATGTGCAGTGCCCCCTCGAACTCATAAAGGTCGGGGGCGTGTCGAGTACAAGTGCCACGTGCATCAAGGCCCCTAAATGCAAACCCCCCCCAATGATATGCAAGAGGAGGAAGGCGCTCCTGTGCTCATATGGCCAGGAGCGGGGAATATACAAGATGCGCATGGATCCAAACCCCAAGACCCCGTGCAAAGAAGAGGTAGGCATCCCAAGTACTCATAAAGGTCTGGGATGGGGAGTGGTACAAGTGTGCAAGTGCATATCCCAGTGCTAAACCCCCAAGAATAAGGAAAGAGCAGCCGGGGGCGCTCGCACCGCCCCAGGGCCTGGCCTGTGTAAAAGGAATCAAGGAGGCCAGGCGGGGGGCTGGTGTGCGTCCCAAGGCCCGGTCTGTGTAGCGCAAACAAAGAGACCGGACGGGGGACGGTGCTGCTGCAAAGGCCCAACTCAAAGGAACACACTGCAGCCAGTGAAAGAGAGTGCTGCCTCCAGGGCCCAACCTGTGTAGCGAATCAAGGAGGAAGGGCGGGGAGACGGCAGAGGACCAACCCTGGAGCCACTACCAACGAAAGACCGGTGCTGAACTCTAGGGTGACGGCTGAAGGCGACACGCGACACAGTCACCTGAACGCCGCTCGAACCAGAACGCGACGCAGTGACGGCGGTGCCCTGTAGGACACGAAGGGTGCCCTGTAGTGAGACAGCTGCTCGAAAGCCGGTGCACCTGTGGGAAACTCCAGCAGCGCGCCCCAGCGAACCTGCTGCACACTAGGGTGAAAGTCGAGAACGAGAGGGAGAACCCGCTGCTCCTCCTGCTCCCGCTCCACCCGAGCCCGTGACCTGGCTAGCAGCTCCGGGCGTCGTGCGTAGGAGATGCTGCTGAATATCGGCTGCAAGAAGGCATCAGGGTAGCCTCTGGCCCGAAGCCGAGAGTAAAAGGCTGCCCTGATGCCCAAGTAACCCCTAAAGCTGGACTCCCGCAGGATGTACCGCTGCAACTCTCCCAAAATAAAGCCCCTCTTGCAGTGAGAGGGGTGCGCGGAGGAGAAAGGAAAGTACTGGTACACGTTAAGCGGCTTCTGGAAAGTACTAGTGTCCAGAACAGCCGTCCTCTGCCAAAGCTCCCCCTTGCTGAACGTAATGTCCAGCAAGGTAAAGTGTGAGGTCGAGATCTCGTGGGTCAATCGAATAGTCTGCTCCAACCCACCGAAAGCCCGCACCCAGTCCAGGAGCCGCTCACGTGTACCCGTCCAAATAACCACCCCGTCGTCTATAAACCTGCGGTGGAGAAGGACGAACTGCGACAACTCTGGCTCGGTCTCTAACAGCCTCTCGTCTAACCAAGCCATGAACAGAACCGCGTAGATCACCGCCACAGGCGTGCCCATGGCAGTACCCCGAACCTGTCGCCAGAAGCGACCACCAAACTCGAGGTGGTTCTGTCTCATGACTAACCCCAACAGCTGCACCAACGCGTCTGCTACCCGCACCGCCACCCTACCCAACCCTACCAGCCGAAACACCACCTCTCTATGCAGCTGATACCTGCGTCGATAGGAATCGACGGGTAGAGGCTCTCTACGTCGTAAGTGAGGAAGAGAGCGTCAGCAGGCACAGAGAGGTCCTGAAGCTGGTGAAGAAGTGCGAGCGAGTCAGGAAGGTGTGCGGGTGAGAACTGTAGGAGGGGGCGGAGGTGGTGATCAAGAACCGCCGACGCGTGCTCAAAGACCCAAAGCGTAGACGAGCAGATGGGTCTGCCAGCCACCGGGGTCTTGTGCAGTTTCGGTAGTAGGTAAAATCTGCACACCCGAAACTGCTCCCAGACCCCGGCAGACACCCCCGTCGGCGGAGTACGCGGCTGCAAGATGTAGTCCAGCACCTGTGGCGGAACCCCTGCGTAACGCGCCTGCTCTGCCCACCTACACAGCTGCTGCCAAAGGGAACGTAGCGGCACCGCAGCAACCGGCTCGTAGACTGCCCTGTCCCCCAACTGCCTCAGCGCCTCCCCCTCGTACCAGTCCCTATCCAGTACCACGATCCCAAGGTTTTTGTCCGCCGGTTTGATGACAACAGACCGGTCACGACTCAACCCCAGGAGTGCACCCCTAACGCGGCTGCTGATGTTGGGCCGAGCGGGCCTCCTATAAGACCCGCCAGCCCCTCCACCCTGTCAGCTACCTCAGCAAGATACTCCTCGACCTCTGGTGGCCCCGGGTCCGGCTGCAACTAGGTCGTGGGACCGAAACCTAGGCACCGGTCTGCGGCTGTCCGAAACTGCCACGCTAGCCTAACCCGCCGCTGTATACTGCTCCACAGCCTGACTCAGCCCGCCCTCGGTCAAGAGGAGGGGCGTAGGGATGAACTTAAGGCCAAGAGCAAGGCCTGTAAGCTCATCCTCTGTCAGACGCCTGCGCGAGAGGTTGTGGACAGCCACGTTAGTTAGCTTGTCCGCGACCTCTTGCACACTGCGCTGGCAAACCGTCGAAGCAGACGCTCCCTGTCCGACTCCTCTAGCCTCCTACGTGGTCTGTGCCTCCCTCGGCTACCAACCCCGTCCCCTGTGTCTGCCTCTACTGGCCCGTCTGCTGCTGCTGCTGCTGCCCCGTCTGCTGCTGCCCCTGGGGCTGCTGCGGCAGATGGTCCTGTGGAAACACTGGGCCCGGGCGGTGCTGTGGCTGCTGCCACGCCGGAGTCCCGTAAAACGGCTGCTGAAGGAACTGCTGCTGCGCTAGGTGGCCCAAGAAGGGCAGGTGGTGCCCCCCAGGAAAAGGGGGCTGAGCCAGAAAAAAGGCCTCCCTGTGCGGGGTGTACGAGGGGCTGCTGCTGTGGGTGGAAGTAGCCCTGCTGGAACGGCTGCTGCCCCCACGGGCCAAAACCCTGCCAACCCCCTCCTGTCTCCCCCCGTCACGCCCTCCTCCCCCCAACGTCCACCCTGGTCCCCACGCCACCCCTGTCCACTCCAGGGCCCGCGCCGGTCACCCGGGCCACTGGACGCTGCCCCCAACCTCCCTGAGCTGAGGCTGGAGTCTGGCCAGTCTGGCGTCCAGAAGGCTGGACGGGTGGCTGCTGCTGGCGAGCCTGCTGCTGTCGCTGACCCTGCTGCTGCGGCTGCTGCTGCTGCTGCTGCCGCGTGCTGCTGCCCCTGTGCCGCACCCTGCTGCTGCCCCTGTCCTGTACCCTGCTGCTGCCCTGGGTCTGCGTCTGTCGCTGTCCCGGGCGCTGCTGGGCCGCTGTAGCAGCTGCGGTGGCTGCCGCCTGGGCACCTGCAGTCTGTGCCGCCGCTGTGGCTGGCTGTGGACGGCTGGCGAACAGGGGAGATGGACTCGAGGCGGCCATCTCCCGTCGGCTCCCTAGCACGGTCCTACCCCGCTTGCTGCTGCGTCTGCTGCCCCTGTCGACGACCCTCAAGACGGTCTAGGACGCTCAGAAAACCGACGCCAGGCTCCTCTGCTCGTCCTGCCAAGCGCCGACCTGTCTCTCGACCTCACGAGGGACAAATTCCCCCATGACCTCGTCTACCGCGCACCCTCTGCCTGTGCTCGCCGCTCCTGCTGGGCCGTCCGCTGCGCCTGCTGCCTGTCGATCCTGGTGGTCTCCTGGTGGACGTACCGCTGGTGCTCCAGCCCCACCCGCAGAAGCGCGTCAGCGACAGCGGCGTGACACCGTCCCCGTAGAGTCTGGATGCTCTGCCAAACAGCAGGGCGAGAAGACTCTGCTGCAAACTGCTGCGCAAGAAGCCCACGCTGCAAGCTGTGGCTACAAGGTCGTCTACCGCCTCCACAAGCCTGCCGCGCCAGGTGGATACCTGCCTTTGGAGGTGAGTCAAGTCATCCATCTGCCCCTGGATCAAAATCAGCTGCATCTGACCCAGCACCTGCTGCTCCAGCTCCCTAAGCCTCGTGTTAGCCTGTGCCTGCACCTCTGGAGTGTGAAGATGCAGCTGCGGAACGAAGCTCTTCTTGAAGCTGGCTGCTACCCTCCCCTCGAAGAACTGCTGCGAGTCTTAACCAGACCCCGCTCGGTCTTGAAGACTACGCGCAGTGCAGTGGCCAGAACCTCTGCCTCAGTCTCTATGAGGGTGGAGATGTACGTCGGCACCGTACCTGACTGGATAGCAGCTGAAACCTCTGCCGCCTGTGAGAGTAGCGTGGCGTCAGCAGGAGCTGCTGCCTCAGTGGTACCCCCTGCTGCTGCTGCCCCCCTGTAGCAGCTCCCGGCAAGACGCCAGCAAAGACCTGCTGGAACAGAAGTGAGGTGATAGCGTACGGCTCTCCCCCCTCTCCAGCAACCCCTGCCCCTGCAGCAACCCCTGTCCCTGTAGCAGTGGCACCAAACGGCTGCTGCGACTGCGACTGCTGCTGTGGCTGCTGCTGCGTCTGCTGCTGCTGCTGCTGCTGCTGCTGCTGCTGCTGCTGCTGCTGCTGCTGCTGCTGCTCTGTCTCCTGTCTAAACTGCTCACGTGCTGCCTGTAGCGCCGCTGCCTCTGCAACAGCCTGCTCGTGAGCCACACGCGCCTCCTCAGCCGTAGCCCTAACCCTGCTAACCCAACCCTCGATGACGGTCCTGCTCTCGAGGACACCCCCTCCAGACTCGAGAGCTGCAGCTCGCGCTGCAAGGTCCGCCTCCACTCCGTCTCCTGCTCTAGTGCAAACTGCTCCTGCCTGTCCTCGTCCGTGTCGGTCCGTCTACGCTGCCGCCGAAAACCGTCTCTGATGTCGGCGACTGTAGCTGGAGCCGGCGAGACGTCCATATCTACCCCCAACCCCGCGGCTGCACCGCGGCTGCTCCTCCGACTGCCCCGCCGCTGCGCTCGCACCGAGCCCACTCATAGTAGAACTAGGATGTACTGACCGAAAAACCTAAGGGTCTACCTCGACTCCGCCAGCCTCCAGCACCGGCGTCAGTGCGAAAGGTTTAGGGTTTGAAAAGAAGGGCTCAAAGAACTGAGCTGCAGTGCTGCTCCGGACTCCAGAGTCGCTAGCGAAAAGGGTGACTAAAGCGAGGCGAACCCTGCCGAACGTAGAGCGAGAGACTACGACCTAGCCTGGGAGAAGGCCAATGCACGAGCCTCTGAGCTACTCTACTCGTCGGCGCTAACCTACGCAACACTACCGCCGTTAGAGAGCAACACGAGGCTCTCAAACGGCCACAAACTGTGCAAGTCCTAGGCAAAGTGAGAAGCTAGGAAAGCAAGAAAAAAAAAAAAAAACACAAGTCTGGAGCCTAGTGTGTAGGGAAATGCAAGAGAGTAAGTACCTCAAGTGAAGGTAGAAGCCGTCTCGTATCGATTTCGCCCGTGAAGGCATCATCAGCAAGACATTTCCTACCCTAGCAAGAGTTCCCTACTCGAGCAATCCCTACCCAATGTCACAGAATGCCTTGTGGGGCAAGCGCCACCTAGGCTCAAAACTAGCCCTGCAAGGTGCCAAGTGGCACCCTGTCAGGGACCATCATCCTAGGCGCCCATATCTCCCAATCCGGGCACCGGATGGCAAATCCGACGGCGCGGATGGCCTCCAGCCCCTACGGGGCTTATGGTCCCATATATGATATGGAACCCATCAGCCATGGCCGGGCGGCGAAAACCGGAGCTTTCTAGAATAGCCCCGGTAGCTACTATGTCGCTTCACGGATTCGCACGAATCCGAGTAGCAGAAACAGAAAAATGCGCATAACTATGCGCTCGGTGCTCCGTTCGGGACGTGTGAAGGCTCGTCGGAGAGCTCTTCAACAGCCCTACGTGATGAAGTCATCACGGAACAGAGCCCGACTAGTACCCGACCTCAGGGCCCCAAGAACCCGCTCGAGGTCTGACTGCCCACTATGTGCAGTGCCCCCTCGAACTCATAAAGGTCGGGGGCGTGTCGAGTACAAGTGCCACGTGCATCAAGGCCCCTAAATGCAAACCCCCCCCAATGATATGCAAGAGGAGGAAGGCGCTCCTGTGCTCATATGGCCAGGAGCGGGGAATATACAAGATGCGCATGGATCCAAACCCCAAGACCCCGTGCAAAGAAGAGGTAGGCATCCCAAGTACTCATAAAGGTCTGGGATGGGGAGTGGTACAAGTGTGCAAGTGCATATCCCAGTGCTAAACCCCCAAGAATAAGGAAAGAGCAGCCGGGGGCGCTCGCACCGCCCCAGGGCCTGGCCTGTGTAAAAGGAATCAAGGAGGCCAGGCGGGGGGCTGGTGTGCGTCCCAAGGCCGGTCTGTGTAGCGCAAACAAAGAGACCGGACGGGGACGGTGCTGCTGCAAAGGCCCAACTCAAAGGAACACACTGCAGCCAGTGAAAGAGAGTGCTGCCTCCAGGGCCCAACCTGTGTAGCGAATCAAGGAGGAAGGCGGGGAGACGGCAGAGGACCAACCCTGGAGCCACTACCAACGAAAGACCGGTGCTGAACTCTAGGGTGACGGCTGAAGGCGACACGCGACACAGTCACCTGAACGCCGCTCGAACCAGAACGCGACGCAGTGACGGCGGTGCCCTGTAGGACACGAAGGGTGCCCTGTAGTGAGACAGCTGCTCGAAAGCCGGTGCACCTGTGGGAAACTCCAGCAGCGCGCCCCAGCGAACCTGCTGCACACTAGGGTGAAAGTCGAGAACGAGAGGGAGAACCCGCTGCTCCTCCTGCTCCCGCTCCACCCGAGCCCGTGACCTGGCTAGCAGCTCCGGGCGTCGTGCGTAGGAGATGCTGCTGAATATCGGCTGCAAGAAGGCATCAGGGTAGCCTCTGGCCCGAAGCGAGAGTAAAAGGCTGCCCTGATGCCCAAGTAACCCCTAAAGCTGGACTCCCGCAGGATGTACCGCTGCAACTCTCCCAAAATAAAGCCCCTCTTGCAGTGAGAGGGGTGCGCGGAGGAGAAAGGAAGTACTGGTACACGTTAAGCGGCTTCTGGAAAGTACTAGTGTCCAGAACAGCCGTCCTCTGCCAAGCTCCCCCTTGCTGAACGTAATGTCCAGCAAGGTAAAGTGTGAGGTCGAGATCTCGTGGGTCAACCGAATAGTCTGCTCCAACCCACCGAAAGCCCGCACCCAGTCCAGGAGCCGCTCACGTGTACCCGTCCAAATAACCACCCCGTCGTCTATAAACCTGCGGTGGAGAAGGACGAACTGCGACAACTCTGGCTCGGTCTCTAACAGCCTCTCGTCTAACCAAGCCATGAACAGACCGCGTAGATCACCGCCACAGGCGTGCCATGGCAGTACCCCGAACCTGTCGCCAGAAGCGACCACCAAACTCGAGGTGGTTCTGTCTCATGACTAACCCAACAGCTGCACCAACGCGTCTGCTACCCGCACCGCCACCCTACCCAACCCTACCAGCCGAAACAACCACCTCTCTATGCAGCTGATACCTGCGTCGATAGGAATCGACGGGTAGAGGCTCTCTACGTCGTAAGTGAGGAAGAGAGCGTCAGCAGGCACAGAGAGGTCCTGAAGCTGGTGAAGAAGTGCGAGCGAGTCAGGAAGGTGTGCGGGTGAGAATGTAGGAGGGGCGGAGGTGGTGATCAAGAACCGCCGACGCGTGCTCAAAGACCCAAAGCGTAGACGAGCAGATGGGTCTGCCAGCCACCGGGGTCTTGTGCAGTTTCGGTAGTAGGTAAAATCTGCACACCCGAAACTGCTCCCAGACCCCGGCAGACACCCCCGTCGGCGGAGTACGCGGCTGCAAGATGTAGTCCAGCACCTGTGGCGGAACCCCTGCGTAACGCGCCTGCTCTGCCCACCTACACAGCTGCTGCCAAAGGGAACGTAGCGGCACCCGCAGCAACCGGCTCGTAGACTGCCCTGTCCCCCAACTGCCTCAGCGCCTCCCCCTCGTACCAGTCCCTATCCAGTACCACGATCCCAAGGGTTTTTGTCCGCCGGTTTGATGACAACAGACCGGTCACGACTCAACCCCAGGAGTGCACCCCTAACGCGGCTGCTGATGTTGGGGCCGAGCGGGCCCTCCTATAAGACCCGCCAGCCCCTCCACCCTGTCAGCTACCTCAGCAAGATACTCCTCGCCTCTGGTGGCCCCGGTCCGCTGCCAACTAGGTCGTGGGACCCGAAACCTAGGCACCGGTCTGCGGCTGTCCCGAAACTGCCACGCTAGCCTAACCCGCCGCTGATACTGCTCCACAGCTGACTCAGCCGCCCCTCGGTCAAGAGGAGGGGGCGTAAGGGATGAACTTAAGGCCAAGAGCAAGGCCTGTAAGCTCATCCTCTGTCAGACGCCTGCGCGAGAGGTTGTGGACAGCCACGTTAGTTAGCTTGTCCGCGACCTCTTGCACACTGCGCCTGGCAAACCGTCGAAGCAGACGCTCCCCTGTCCGACTCCTCTAGCCTCCTACGTGGTCTGTGCTCCCTCGGCTACCAACCCCGTCCCCTGTGTCTGCCTCTATGGCCCGTCTGCTGCTTGCTGGCTGCTGCCCCGTCTGCTGCTGCCCTGGGGCTGCTGCGGCAAGATGGTCCTGTGGAAACACTGGCCCGGGCGGTGGCTGTGGCTGCTGCCACGCCGGAGTCCCGTAAAACGCTGCTGAAGGAACTGCTGCTGCGCTAGGTGGCCCAAGAAGGGCAGGTGGTGCCCCCAGGAAAAGGGGGCTGAGGCCAGAAAAAAGGGCCTCCCTGTGCGGGTGTACGAGGGGCTGCTGCTGTGGGTGGAAGTAGCCCTGCTGGAACGGCTGCTTGCCCCCCCACGGGCCAAAAACCCTGCCAACCCCCCCTCCTGTCTCCCCCCGTCACGCCCTCCTCCCCCCAACGTCCACCCTGGTCCCCACGCCACCCTGTCCACTCCAGGCCCGCGCCGGTCACCCGGGCCACTGGGACGCTGCCCCAACCTCCCTGAGCTGAGGCTGGAGTCTGGCCAGTCTGGCGTCCAGAAGGCTGGACGGGGTGGCTGCTGCTGGCGAGCCTGCTGCTTGCCTGTCGCTGGACCCTGCTGCTGCGGCTTGTGCTGCTTTGCTGCTTGCTGGCCGCTGCTGCTGCCCCTGTGCCGCACCCTGCTGCTGCCCCTGTCCTGTACCTGCTGCTGCCCCTGGGTCTGCGTCTGTCGCTGTCCCGGGCGCTGCTGGGCCGCTGTAGCAGCTGCGGTGGCTGCCGCCTGGGCACCTGCAGTCTGTGCCGCCGCTGTGGCTGGCTGTGGACGGCTGCGAACAGGGGAGATGGACTCGAGGCGGCCATCTCCCGTCGGCTCCCTAGCACGGGTCCTACCCCGTTGCTGCTGCGTCTGCTGCCCCTGTCGACGACCCTCAAGACGGTCTAGACGCTCAGAAAACCGACGCCAGGCCTCCCTCTGCTCGTCCTGCCAAGCGCCGACCTGTCTCTCGACCTCACGAGGGACAAATTCCCCCATGACCTCGTCTACCGGCGCACCCTCTGCCTGTGCTCGCCGCTCCTGCTGGGCCGTCCGCTGCGCCTGCTGCCTGTCGATCCTGGTGGTCTCCTGGTGGACGTACCGCTGGTGCTCCAGCCCCACCCGCAGAAGCGCGTCAGCGACAGCGGCGTGACACCGTCCCCGTAGAGTCTGGATGCTCTGCCAAACAGCAGGGCGAGAAGACTCTGCTGCAAACTGCTGCGCAAGAAAGCCCACGCTGCAAGCTGTGGCTACAAGGTCGTCTACCGCCTCCACAAGCCTGCCGCGCCAGGTGGATACCTGCCTTTGGAGGTGAGTCAGTCATCCATCTGCCCCTGGATCAAAATCAGCTGCATCTGACCCAGCACCTGCTGCTCCAGCTCCCTAAGCCTCGTGTTAGCCTGTGCCTGCACCTCTGGAGTGTGAAGATGCAGCTGCGGAACGAAGCTCTTCTTGAAGCTGGCTGCTACCCTCCCCTCGAAGAACTGCTGCGAGTCTTAACCAGACCCCGCTCGGTCTTGAAGACTACGCGCAGTGCAGTGGCCAGAACCTCTGCCTCAGTCTCTATGAGGTGGAGATGTACGTCGGCACCGTACCTGACTGGATAGCAGCTGAAACCTCTGCCGCCTGTGAGAGTAGCGTGGCGTCAGCAGGAGCTGCTGCCTCAGTGGTACCCCCTGCTGCTGCCCCCCTGTAGCAGCTCCCGGCAAGACGCCAGCAAAGACCTGCTGGAACAGAAGTGAGGTGATAGCGTACGGCTCTCCCCCCTCTCCAGCAACCCCTGCCCCTGCAGCAACCCCTGTCCCTGTCAGCAGTGGCACCAAACGGCTGCTGCGACTGCTGCTGTGGCTGCTGCTGTGGCTGCTGCTGCGTCTGCTGCTGCTGCTGCTGCTGCTGCTGCTGCTGCTGCTGCTGCTGCTGCTGCTGCTGCTGCTCTGTCTCCTGTCTAAACTGCTCACGTGCTGCCTGTAGCGCCGCTGCCTCTGCAACAGCCTGCTCGTGAGCCACACGCGCCTCCTCAGCCGTAGCCCTAACCCTGCTAACCCAACCCTCGATGACGGTCCTGCTCTCGAGGACACCCCCCTCCAGACTCGAGAGCTGCAGCTCGCGCTGCAAGGTCCGCCTCCACTCCGTCTCCTGCTCTAGTGCAAACTGCTCCTGCCTGTCCTCGTCCGTGTCGGTCCGTCTACGCTGCCGCCGAAAACCGTCTCTGATGTCGGCGACTGTAGCTGGAGCCGGCGAGACGTCCATATCTACCCCCAACCCCGCGGCTGCACCGGCGGCTGCTCCTCCGACTGCCCCCGCCGCTGCGCTCGCACCGAGCCCACTCATAGTAGAACTAGGATGTACTGACCGAAAAACCTAAGGGTCTACCTCGACTCCGCCAGCCTCCAGCACCGGCGTCAGTGCGAAAGGTTTAGGG